TGCAATGTTCCCAGAATCTGCTTGGCTGGTGCCCACCACAGGTGGCAGTGGGCAGCGGTGGAAGGATCAGTTCTGCTCTCTGCGTCACACTGTGGGGCGGGGGCTGGCAGTGGAGCGGCCCATGCTGGGGTCTGCCCTACACAACGGTCCAAACATGCCGCCAGTGGCTGTCCTCTCAGACCGGAAGGCAGCCTCAGGAATTGATGAGGTGGCCACAGACCCTCAGGGTAAAGGCTGGGCTCACCTGTGACCTCCTGGACAACCTTGGGGCACCTGGGTGTGTGTTTCTGCGGCAAACCCTTTCAAGGGCAGCAGTGGCCAGGCGTCTCTATCCTACTGCTTATTCCTAAAGCAATCGCCCTTTTACAGAAAACAAGGCAAATGGCACCACAGAGAAGAAACGCACTATTCAGGAGAGAGGGAGCAGGGAGAAGGTCGCTGGTGGAGCTCCAACTGGCCTTTATTCCGGCTTATAACGCTCCTCCTCATCCAATCTGGGGCACATCCCCAGTGCAGAAACCCAAACCCCAAAGCTGTTGGGTTACCTTCGCTAACCCTGGGGGGGGGTAGCACGGGGGCTGACACGGGCTGTCACCAAGGTGCAGGAAGGCCCAGCCAGAGGGTGCTGCAAACACTTACACCCTTCATTACCAACACTAGCCACTGGGCCAGGCCACTGTCCCTGCCTACTACGAAGGCCTGTCTCAGGAAGGAAACCTAGAGACCCAGCCGTGGTCAATCAGCTCGGCCCGTCCCTGTGGCACACAATCGCTTGATCTGGAGGAAAATATCCAACCAACCCAATTGCTTTCAGCTACGCATCTGGATTTATTGGACCGCAATTCTTCCCGTTCCCATCCGGGCCTCTGCCGGAAACACAGCCGCAGCCTAAGTAGAGGGAAGGAGCAGAGCGAGCTCTGGCTGGCGCTCACCCCCGCCCCCCACCCCCCTGCGGAGCCAGGTCAGCATGCATCCTGCTTTCCACCCAAAGGATCCTCCTGTACAGGGAACCAGGTGTCTGGCTAATGAGTGGAGCTCCTGGGAGCTAACCAGCTGCATGGGGGTTTCACTGGCGAAGAAGTATTTTTCTGCCTAAGACTGGGCAGATACTAATGGGATACATTAGTCAAACAAGTTTGCCGAACTCGGTATTGCCACGTGACGGTCTAGTGGGTATAGGAAGGGCTAACTTGCCCAGAAGGAAGCTCCTGACAGAATCACCCCAATGGTCTTCTCCCACAGCCTCCTCGACCCCAACCCCCCATCTCAGGAAATGACAACTCCACTCCCTTCTCCCCTTCTCGGCTCAGACAAGAAATGCTGGCACAATCCTTGGGTGGTTTCAGCAGTGAGTCCAGTGGGGTCTACTTTCAAACCATAACCAGAATCAAGCACTTTCTCACCATATCCTCGTCCAAACCACCATCGGCTCTTTTCCGGGGAACAGCAGTGGCCTGGGGAACACTGGGCTCCCCGCTTCCACCCTTACAGCCATGTTCCACGTCATCAGGGAAGTCTTTCAAAGGATGAAGTCGGTCTCAACTCGTGCTTGGCTCAGAGTCCCCCAATCGCTTCCCATTACTGTAACTCAGCTCTCAAAAGTTGCCACCTCCCCTTCACGTCAGGCACTCTTTCACCTCCTGGCCTTCCACTGGCTAGTCCCCCTGTCCATCACAGTGTCTCCACCTTCCTAATGCCGCAGCCCTTTCATATAGTCCCTTATGTGGCAGGGACCCCAACCATAAAACTATTGTTGTTGCTCCCTCATAACTATCATGTTGCTACTGTTATGAGTCATAATGTAAATGTCTGATATACAGGATGTATTTTCATTGTTACAAATTGAACATAATGAAAGCGGAGTGATTAATCACAAAAGTATGTAATTATAGGTTGTGAAATATTTATATCTAATGACAAATA